CCAGTTCCAAAGGAAAGTTGGTGTGACTGTGGTATTTACCCTCACAGGTCCAGAAGAGGACACCTGGTGCCCGCAGGAGCCCCAGCTGAGGCTCATCCTGGTTGGGAGAACCGGGGCCGGGAAGAGCGCCACTGGCAACAGCATTCTGGGCCACAGGCGCTTCCTTTCCAGGCTCGGAGCCACATCTGTGACCAAGACCTGTGCCTCTGCCAGCCGGCGGTGGGCCAGGTGGCACCTGGAAGTCATAGACACCCCTGACATCTTCAGCGCCCAAGTGGACCAGACAGACCCCAAGTCCTTGGAGCGAGGTCGCTGCTACCTGCTGTCAGCCCCAGGGCCACACGTGCTACTCCTGGTGACACAGCTGGGACGCTACACTGCCCAGGACAGGGAAGCATTCAGGAAGATGAAGGAGCTGTTCGGTGAGGGTGTGGTGGCGCGGACCGTCGTCATCTTCACCAGGAAGGAGGACCTGGCCGGTGGCTCCCTGCAGGAATATGTGCGTTGCACGGACAACGTGGCCCTGCGAAAGCTGGTGGCGGAGTGCGGGGGCCGCGTCTGCGCCCTAGACAACCGAGCCACCGGCAGCGAGCAGGAGGCCCAGGTGCAGGAGCTGCTGGGCCTGGTCGAGGGTCTGGTGAGGGAGCTCGGGGGCGCACACTACACCAACCAGGTGTATGGCCTCGTGCAGGCCCTGCGAGGCGCAGACCTGGAGGAGAGGCTCCGCAGGGTGGCGGAGGAGGTGGAAGCCCGAATGCAGAGGCCCCGGGGGACCTGGCTGCTGGCAAGGCTGTGGCAGTGGCAGAAGTCCCATAAGGCCTACTGGAAACGGGGCATGGTCGTCCTGTTGGGTGTCACCCTCCTGGTCTACGTGCTGTTTTATAGGTGTCAGCCAGAGGCCATTGGTGATCTGAATGACAGATAGTTCCAGGCCTTAAAAACTTGGCCAAGAACTGAATGCTTAGGGCTGAATAGGAAAATGAAAACATCGTTCCTGCATTTTTTACTCAAGCTTTAGTGACAGCTTTGCAAAGTCTCAAAGTTCACTTTTCAGTGTGTAAGTCTCAACTTTTAACTAGATTTACAGTGTTTTCAAATAAATTTCCCTGATTTAAAACTTCCTTAAGACATTTTGAACACCTTAGTGTAGCATCCTCCCTCTCTTGAAAAAGAGTGAAATGACTGGCAGCTTGTAGTGGGGACAAACTCATGGCACAGGGGACAGCATTTTCATTTAATTGAGACTAACCTTCCTTGATAATTTTCTATTCTAGTGTGTGTTCCTTTGCTATCTTGTAGACGTTTATCAGCCATGAAAGGACGTCCAGGTCCTTCACGTTAGTGCTTACTTCTGACACACCTGATCAGTTATTAGTTAAGATGATTTACTACCAGACAGGTGAATATAACTACCGAAAATAACAGTTTCCAGTTTCTAGTAGGTATTATGGTTCCTGCTTTTGCAAAATAAAGCAAAATGAGGTGTGTGTGTGTGTGTGGACAGGGTCTTGCTATGTAGCCCAAACTGACCTTGAACTCACCAGGTGGCCAGGCTGCCTCAAACTTGTGATCCTCCTGCCTCCAATTCCAGAGTGCTAGGATTCCAGGTGTGTGCCACCACACCTAGTCACACAATATGTTTTTGCATTTATATTGCAACATGTGATAAATAGATAAGCAGCTAGACAGATAGATAGATAGATATGTATGGTGTATCAAGCTCCTTTCTGATAATGGAGAGGAGGAAGAGAGGCAGGTGTATAGACTAAGAGCAACAGACACCTAAGCAAAGGTTGATTCTTAAGCAGTTGATATGAATGCCATACATTAGAAAACTGAATGCTGTCTGGTTGTACAAACCAAGCAATAGGATTTCCATGTTTCTACTTCTGGGCATAGCAAGAATGTTTTAAAGGCAGTGCTTGTCTTTAAATCAGTCAACCTGTAGTTAGCAGATGAGGAAACAAAAGCTAACCCAAATCGGGGAGGAGGAGGAAGGGAGTTGGGAGCAGGCATCCCAGGGTCCTCTCAGCTCCACATTAGGAAGGGGAGATCTGTGTGTGTGCTGCCAATGCCACACCCAGCTACAGGCAGCAGGAGGCTTCATGTGGGCTGGGGACTAGTCATGGGCTATGGTCGGGTGGCTTGGCCTGTGGTGATCACTGCACAGTGAGCTGGGCTCTATAAAGTGTGACTGAAGAAAAATCCATTCTTAATTTGAATTGCTAACTTCCTCATCAGCCCTTCTGGTCTTATGCAGAGCTAGAGCCAGGGAACCACCTTCAATAACCAGAGGGGGCAGCAGAGAGGGGCCAGGGGCCAGTGCTGGGAAAAGGGTGTGGTGAAAGATGTCTCCCACATTGGTAGTCCAGGGATGCTTGCTTCTGTGGACCAAGGGTTGTTCACCAGCAGTGCTAGTATTGCCTCTTATTCTTTCTTTTTCTTTTCCTTTTTCTTTTTTTTTTAATGCCAGCTCACATTTTATTGTGGAGAAGTGGCCTGTGGAGTGGGACTTCAGCAAGGGAGCTGGAGCCCACTGCCACTCACAGACTAGAGATAGATTAAAAAGGTGGGTGGAGAAGCCCCAGGAAGGTCACTGGAAGTCTCAGTGACCCTCTGACCTTGACTCTCCTGAAATAATGACTTCCTTCTGGGCCCAGTAGGGAGTTTCTAGTAAGGTGGATGTCTACTTTTCTTTAGGACCGGGTGGAGAGTTTTTAATAAGTCACCTTCAAGAAAGCAGGGTCCAATTCCAACATGGCTTCTTTTTGTTCACCCTAACATTCCTGCCTTTTGGTATATATACCAAAAGGGGAGGGAGTATTGGCAGGGTCTTCTTGCCTTAGGTGACTGTAGTGGGCCTGTTGGAGGAATAGAACTGAGTTGATCTGTTTACAGGTAGTAGCCTGGACAAAAGCCTGGAGCCTCTGGGAAACATCTTTCTTTTTTTTTTTTTTTCATTGTTTCACATGTATCCACATAGACCCTCCGATGTTTGTTATCTGTCTTGTTTATAAATAGAAATGTGATTTTTAAAATAAATATTATGATTTTATATTGTCTGTGAACCATAGCATATGTATTTATACCTGGGCTGAAGGAAAGCTTGATATTTCAAGTGAAATGCCCTGTCTGGGGCTCTTCTCTGGAAATAGTAAGGGACACAGCAAAGAGTGCAGGTAGATATGTGGGGTGGCCTGAGGGCTTGTGTTTCAGAGCCAGGACCCTGTGTGCTGGCTCAGAGATGACAGGAACTAAGGTTATCCTTGAAATATATATATATAAATATTTGTAGTTTTCACATGCAATAAAATTATATGAATGAAAGCACTTTGTAGGTTAAATCCATAAGAACATGATGTACAAACATATGCTGGAAATCACAGATTAAGGAGCAATCCACTCTACAACAGGGGAGGGTAAAAGCTGGAAAGACCCTGTGTGGAGTAGAGCCCTGCAGAGATAACTGAAAGCTGAGGGGACACTGAGAAAAGTCCTATGACATTCCAATCCCCACCTTCAATAAAGGCAATTCCAGAGAAACTCAAGACCAATGCTTGCAGAAGGCAACCATAGCAGCAACCTCAGCCCAGCTCGGCTCCTGGTTAGATTGACTCACACCCAGCATTAATGACTTGACACAAAAACAGGCAAGCCCATTTTCAGGCATATTTATCTCAGTTCCTAGTTTTCTACATAATGTAGAAAATTTAATGTCTACAATTTAATAAAATTATGAAACATTTAGAACACCAAGAAATAATAGCCCATTATCAAAGACAAAACAACCTACAGACTAAGACTAAAAAACAAACCAAAGTTGGATGAGGACTTTAAAATATTATTATCCTGGCACCAGTGGCTCACACCTGTAATCCTAGCTACCCAGAGGCAGAGATCAGGAAGATTGAGATTCAAAGCCAGCCCCAGGCAAACACTTTGCAAGACCCTATCTCAAAAAAAAAAATCACAAAATAGGGCTGGTGGAGTGGCTCAAGTAGTAAGAGTACCTGCCCAGCAAGTGTGAGACCCTGAGTTCAAAACCCAGCACTGTCAAAAGTAATAATAATTATGATTGTGGTTATTATTAATAATAATATATTAAAGAATTGGATGGAAAATGTGGACAACATGCAATAAAAGATGGGGCATTTCAACAGAGATAGAAATTATCAGAGTCAAGTGAAAGTGTTAAAATGAAAACCCCTCTACCAGGGATGAAGAATTCCTTAGCAACTTGACACAGCTGAGGAAAGTATTAATAAAAAGGAAAATATGTTAAAAGAAATCATCTAAACTGAACAAAAGGAGAAAAATGAGTGGGGGAAAAAAAAGAAGGCAAGGTAAGGCAAGATGGTAAATTAGAAGTTTCCTCTATTTTGACTCTCTGAATAAGAAAAGTCAGGTAACAAAGGAGAGACTATATTCTGAAGAAAGAAAGAGAGGAAGAGCATCAGGAATCACAAATGAGGTAGAAGGACAGCTTAAGAGAATAAAGAAGCAGAAAAGTGAAAGAGAAGAGGAGAAAAATTTTCTAAGCCCTGTCCCTAGCTCCCTGGGAGCAGGGTTAGAGAGCCAAAGAGGCAATCAAAGATTAACCAGACACCCTGGTGTCAGAATGGCAATTCTAACTGCAGGATAAGTCCACACCTTCTGAAGGCCTTAAATCAGTGCAGGAAATTGATGAGATAGTGACTTCTCTGGTGTGAGAGAAAGACATTCTGCTGTTCACCTTATTGGGAAGAGCTACAGTGAGGCACTATCTGGACAGAGGGCCTACTTTTGAGACTGACCTACTCTGGGGACTTGAAAACAAGGAACAATCATGGCTCAAAAAATCTTGGGACACCCTGCCACAGTGTCTGGATGGGAGACAGCCAGAGAGGTAGTTGTGCATAGGGAGAAGTTCAAGCAGCAGAGCTCCAGTAGTGAAGGGTATGGTGATTGAAGTCCATGCCCTCCCTGGCAAGGAGAAAATTCCATTGCCTGAGGATAACAGCAGAAGCAGAGCACCAAGTCTGTAGCTGGTCTACTATTTGGCCTCCAGGTTCTGCTTCCTTGTTATGTCTATTGACTTCCAGGTGGGTCTGAGAGCCCTGAGCCGGGATCCCTGGAATCACATGACTTCTAAGTCTCCTCCCTCCTCCCCCACTCTATCCTCCCCCAACAGAGGGAAACTGCTGGTGAAGCCTGAAAGCACTGAAACCTGCTTGGAGGAACAGATTCCTGGTGAGTGTTGACTGCCAAGTAGGGGCTGAAAGTCCCAACCCAAGTCTTTCAATTCATGGGATTTCCATGGCCTCCTCTCCCACACAGGAGGTGAATTACTATTAGGATCTGCAAGCATTGAGACCAGCAGCAGAGTACCTAAGTCCCTCAGTTCTCCCCCCTGCCAGTGCAGAACTCAATGCTCTATTTCCATCCCCATACATACTAAGCAATGCACTGGGGGACATTTCCAGGTCTGGAGGCTCACTGCTCCTGGGACACACAAACTGAGGGGCATGTGAAACAGATGAAAACCTGGCCCATGGTATGTAAAGTTTTCTGAAGCCAGAAAGGGCTCCCAGTACACAAAGAAGGGAAACTTCTATAGGGAAAGCAGGCTGTAGGAGACATCAACCCTTCATAAGAGACTCCAGCAAGCTTTTCTCAATGTGAGAGGTACCGGGAATCAGGTCTAGTACCCTGAGGATGTGGATAAATACTTAGCTACTGAACCATAGCTCCAATCCAGTGATGTAAAATAGCACCTCAACCCAGCCACTACAGTGTTCTGCCTGAATACTGAGAATACTTCAACAGAAGACTACAAGTGATGAAAACTTCCAACCAAGGACTTGGCCTTAGATGCACAAATCCCAAGGAAGAAACAATAAATGCAAAAAAACAAGGCAACATGACTCCTCTAAAACTCAATATTTCACAGTAACAAACATTAATGATAGTAAGCAGATGAAATACCAAAGTATTTTTTTAAAGATTATAAGAATGATCAATAAAACCAAAGAGGACATGAATAAGCACCTGAATGAATTCTATTCAGAATAATGAGTTGAATGAAATTTTAAAAAAATGTCAAACATGAAAAATGAATTCAATAAAGATATAGAAATTCTTTAAAGGAATCCTGCACATGAAGAGGAAGATAACTGCAACCAGCAAATACAGGAAAGAATAAATCTCACTAGATGACTAGATAAGCAAATGGGAATTGAGGAGGAATCAAACACTATAAAACAACAATAATAACTTTTTTAATAATATCTTCTTTCTAACAATAACTCTGAATATTGATGGTCCTAATTCTCCAATCCAAAACAGACTGATGGATTGAATTAAAAAACAAGAACTATTTGTTTCCTGTAAGAAATTCACCTCACTGGCAAAGACAAGCATTGGTTTAAATGAAAGGATGGAAAAAGATATCTCAAGCAAATGGAGCCCAAAAGGAAGCAAGAGTAGCCATTCTCAAATCTGAAAAAGCACACTTCAAACCAAAATTAATCAGAAGAGACAAAGAAGTTCACTTGATATTGATAAAGGGAATAATTCACACTGAAT